AATTATATTGCATTGTATTGTATTTTATGGTGTCCTATTGTACAGAATCGTGTTGCATTATATTGTATACTGTGGTAAATATACTGTGGTAAATAGTAAAAAAAAAAAAATTATGTATCATATTGTAATGTAAGGTATTGTATGATATTGACTTTTATGGTGTTATATATTTTATTGCATAGTATTGTATTGTATCATATCATATGGAATTGTGTTGCATTATATTGTATACTGTTGTAAATTGTTAAATTGTTTTTAATGTATTATATTGGCTTTAATGGTGTGATATATTTTATTGCATATTATTGTATTGTATCATATAGGAACTTATCAGTTCACAACTAACTGTATAGTATCGGATTGTATTAATTGTTATATATATATATATATATATATAGATATATAGATATATAGATATATAGATATATAGATAGAGAGAGAGAGAGAGAGAGAGAGAGAGAGAGAGAGAGAGAGAGAGACAGAGAGAGAGAGAGAGAGAGAGAGAGAGGCAAAAGACAAATAACATTGTAAAATGTGAAAAACACAATTTTAAAAATACTAAAAAGAGTTTTGATTGTCAAACAATGGTATAATTCAAATAAATCCATCTGCTGCATATAGCTTTGATTATGTATTTTTGTGTGTTTGTGTAGAAAACAGAATCTTGTCAGCGAGTGTCTGGAAGCTAAATAACACCCATCATTGACTACAGATTTAGAAAAGGTGAACAGTACTATCTTGACATGTGTGAGAAACTTTCATCTTCCTAAATGTTAACTTATTTGAATAACTAATAGAAACATAGAAAATAGAGTTGTATTTAAGTTAGGTATTAAATATGCAAGTAGTCTGCAACAAATCAGATGGTTCTTATTGTATTTAAAATAGTCCAGCCGGTTAAACATCAGAGGTTTAGCGTAACAGGTAATTAGACACAGGCCAACATGAAACACTAGATCAATTATTTATAACTTTAAGAGGAAATCTTTAAATACTTAAATTTTATCAGTATTTTTGTGTCAAGGTAAAACCTTTAACGTAAATTGCACCAATCAATTCAGACAAGTCTAAAACTAATTCCTCTGAGCTTGTTTTGGAGTGGATTGTATCGTTTTATTTCTTATGCTTTAATCATAAAACAAATAAATATGTAACATGAGTAAAATGTACTTTTTTAGATGCATTAGAATAGTCTTTTAATTGCCCCCAGTTGCTTTTGATGCTGTAATTCTCCTGCAAAATGACTTTGTTTTCCTTATTTTCCGTTTTTAAAGAAGTATGAAAGTGGATTTTGTCATCGTTTCGTGGTTTTGAAAGATGCTGATGATAAGTTAAGAGATGACAAGAAGCAAAATAGTCGCAAAGACGGTAAAAAGATAAAGAGAAGCGAAACAAGAAAAAAGGATTGTAAAGTCAAGAAAATTATTTAGACCTACTCCTTTTGTGTTGGACCATCAAAGTAACGCACAAAGATCCCAACAAAACATGAAAGCGCAAACAACAAGGCCTAAAGTTGGCTTTAAAAACTGTTTGTTGGATTTTACAAGAGTTTTGAAATTGTGGCAGAAAAGACAAAAGCTTGTTAAAAAAAAAAAAAAAACAACAGAAAAATCAGTACAAAAGTGAAAAGCGACAGAACGTTGTTATTTCATGTGAAAACCTTCGCTGTTCTTCATCACACGGAGTGACAACAACAGGATTTACATGGTGAAATTACTGTCGTCGTTTGCTCCGCACCAACTTGTTTTTCCTCACCTGACTTCTGCAATCTGCTTCACCTCTTTGTGTTACCACCATCTCTTTCCATGGCCGTGTCAGACCTGGATGGAAAAGAGGAAAGAAACAAAACAAATTCAGCTTTCATACGTGTACGCGTGTGTTCACGTCCGCTCCGAGGGGAGGCTCTGCACACAGACGAGAAAGAAACAGGACGACATGTCAGCATGCTGTCACCGTTACATGGAAGAGGTGTACGGGCTGAGCTGGGGGTGGTGGGGGACTACTGGGTGTGTGTGTGTGTGTGTGTTAAAAGGTGAAAAATGCAGAATTAAAACGCATAAGTTATAATATAAGAACAAAATAGTCTTTTGAAAACATAGCTGGCATACAGCCCGTTCCATAACGTAGCTTGTTTTCATTGTTATATATCACTACTTTTATTTACTTTTTCATTTAATATGCTGTTTATCGTTGTGTGCACCCCATCTGTGTGTTTTTTAACTCTCTTAACGAGTCCTTGTGACTCAATGAGACTAACCTGTATAAATATAATAATAATAATAATGAATTTTTGTGCAGAAAATCCACAACTAAAAAAAAGATCTTTTAACAGACTAGTCTCATTGAGTCACAAGGACTCGTTAAGAGAGTTAAAAAACACA